CATACCCTAACATCAGTGTTCATATTCTCCATACTGTTCTTGATACATTTCCTTAGATGCTGACAAGGAGAATTTCTTTGACATTCATTCACAGGAGCTTCTTTTGTTGGTGATCATTTCCTTGATTCTCATAACTTAGATGTGTGATTTGGTATTTATATTGTAAGAAGAAATTAGATGTTCGTCACCCATAGGGGTCACAGGGTTAAAAGATAGGGATCAATATCAGTATCTGGGCAACTGCCCACCTACCCCTCCCTTAACTCAACAACAGTCAATTGATAACAAGTTAGGGTTAATGTTGGGTTAGGGGAGGGGTAGGTGGGCAGTTGCCCAGATACTGATATTGATCCTTCTAGTGCAGCAAGGCAAATTGGAAAATAGAGAATTCTCTAAGCTTCAGTGGTTGATAAACATCCTGCTTCATGTATATTTTAAATTATTTCCTTTACTTTAATTTAAAAAACTAAAATTAAAAGCTAATTCACTGAATAACAACTGTCCTATTGAGAAAAAACCATTCAGCTGATAATTCTATACATTCTCAACACTTGTTTGTTGTAAAATGCATGGGCATTGTTAGGAGAAGTTACATGTTTATCACAATTAGGATTTCACTTTCCTGTACCTTATCAAGTTCTTTATCCTCCACATGCATTTTCTTGAAGCGAAGAAAGCCCACAGGAGCAAAGGCATCATCTGAATGAATGACACTTTCGCTTTCATCTCTTGTGATAAAAAGAAAAGACATATGACTCTTTTAAAAGCTATTAAGACAGAGTGCATTGCATTTTTCACCATATTATGTGTAGGTTTTTTAACCCATTGTTCATTAAAACATTCACTAACCCTTATTTACAATAGCAACTCTTCAGAAGAATTTAATTGACTGCAATTTTTTTTGCACTCTCAGTAAATTTTCAAAAATCAAACCTTGAGAGAAGGGATAGCTTCTATATGGAAAACCACCTTGTGCCTCTGGAGAAGGGGGTTAAGTTTTGTAGTTAACTTAATATTCAATCAAAATATAACTCACATGACAATTTTTTTCTTGAACAAAGGACAATCCAGAGTAAAAGTTTCATACTCTCCTCCTTCCCCACAAACATTTGAGCCATATTTGTCTTTCTAGTGAATCAGATGTAAAAAAAATATGATATACAGAGGATGTTGCATGGATACAAAATTGTTTTTCAGTATGAAATGATATTTCTCACAAATGAGCAGTATAATGCCTGACATGTCATCCTGAGCAGAGTTTCAATACTCCCACAGGTAGTTGTTTTGCACTAATGAAACTGGGATATTATAACCTCTTCAACTCCTAAGCTAGATTACCAGCCGCTGCTCAGGAAAAAGAGCCTGCACTCCTCCCCCAAACTCAGGGGACACCAGACACAAGAGAGCGATGGAAATTGAGCCTATTCACCCCCCACACATGATCAATGTCTAACTTCTCCATGCAATTCCAATGTTATCTTATAATTGGTTTATGGAAACAGACAAGCTCGTTAGTTGGAGGGTGTTACCCTAATAGACCATAAACTCTATGTTCACAGTAAGTTACAAAATAATACAGTTCAGATACAATTTGCATATAGCAAAAGCTAGTCAAGACAAGTTGTATGGAGAGAACAAAAGACTGAAAATTTAAATTCTCTTTGGCAATTTAAAGAGAAAAGTGTAGCAGTCAGTAAGGAGAGTGACAAAATTAATCAAATATTGAAAGTTTAAGTATCAGCTTTGGCTGGATGGTTTCTTTGGCCTGTAAGCTGACATCTTTTTTTTTAAATCTGATGATCACTTCTCTGTAAGAACTATGATAACAAAGTAATAAAAGCTGTATGCATCATATACTAAATTCATCTGATTATTGTTTTCCTTACCAGTTTACACATTAGAGAATACACATCTGCTATGGGCAGTCCCAAATGTCTCTTTGGACTTAGATCTATAAACAGCCATTAAAAAACAACATTTTAACAAAGAAGGACTGTTCATGACAATCTAACACTGAGAGTGATCACACTTTGCCTCTTGTATAACTGGAATTCCATATTTGGCAGTAGTAACAAGAATGGACTGGCAAATATGAATAAATGGGGTAAGTTTCTAGAACAAAACTGTGATGCTGCATTGGTAGGAGAGTATAACAGCTGATTTAGTGTTAACAAAGTTGAAAATGTAGATTGGCCACCATAAAGAGTTTAAAGGCTGACATTTCAAGCATTAGCCCTTTGCCAGAGTGAAGGGCTAATTGCTCTGACGAAGGGCTAGCACTTGAAATATCAACCTTTAAACTCTTTACAGTGGCCAATTTACATTTTCAACTCAGTTGTGGACTGGAAAACATGCTTGCCAAAAGTTTTTAAGAAAGTAAAGGGAAAACATTGACTCTGTTGTAAGTCCTCATTTTCAAAGTATTTTAAAATAATTTTCAGTCAAGAAGTATAAATTTTGTATATAAGGTTCCCTTGAGATAAAAGAATAGCTGAGAGGTCTTGTTTGCAGCTAGGTCAAAATCCTGCATGAGATTTTTGTGTCCCTGTTCTGCATACAAAATAAGCTGTATTCACTCAGCTACAGAGACATGAATGTAAATTACAGACAAGTGTGAATACCCATTGCAGCTACTTTTATTAGAATGGCTTCAACTCCAGAGGAAATCATTTCACCAAGCAACTCTGTTTGATCACGTCGCCAAAGATAAGCTAGTGAGGATAATCCCAGTCTGGAGCAGCTAAAGATCAAAAATTAAAACAAATATCTCAAAAAGACCCATTATTGGTAAGCTGTGTCTTAGCATTTACTGAATTGCTATAATCCTCATAAAAGATTAACTGGCTAATTCTAAAATTATGGTTACTAGCAGTTTTAAAAATAAGATGGGAATCATCATCAGTATTCATGCTAACTCACAAGAAAATGAACCCAACATTCTTTTACAATACAAAATGAAAGTAGTCAAAATACAAACAACAAGTAAAAATACACAGCAATACTACACACCAAAATGTCTAATAACTTATTTATCATCCAAATACTTTTTTTTCTGCTAAGTCTTTGCTCATTTCTCATAAGGCAGGAAAAGTAAAGCACATAGAGAAGTTTAGTGTGAGCAGCCAACTGGTTAACCAGCAGGTTTTTTTACAGTTCAAAATAACCAACTGTCCAAATAACTGTACAACATTGTTGGATATTCGCGCATTATTTGCACTCTACTTTGTGCAGTTGGATAATTTCACCTTTTATTCCAATACTTAAAACAAGAAAATCACCGTTCAGACAAGTGCAACATTCCTGTACTTTATGTAATAATTTAAGGATGAGATTAAAATAAAAATGTATTCTGCTGTCTTACACATGTTCCACTCTAATTCGTTGATAATCAGACAAAATAGCTCCTGTAGACACTGCATCAAACTCAATGTTCTCCTAAAAGAAACATATTCAGGTACAGTTAAAGAATGCCAAGTGTGTTTGGAACAAACAAGAGCCATATATGTAGGGAATATAAGAGATGACTAACAAAAGCCATGGCTTACATAACGCGCGAACTGAAACAAACAAGCATGAATCGCATGAGGCACTAGGTGCTTGTTGAAATGATTTGTATCTTATTTTGCTACTTAAGGCAACCTTTTCACTCTCAAGATTTCATTGGCAATTCCCCTAACTGTTTTACATACAATTCTTATCACAATAGTTCTGAGAATTTGGTATTGGATCAACTAATAATCCCCTAATTGATGTATTTCTTTATTCTCATCACTTGGCTTGTTTGATATTGTATTGATATTGTAGAGAGAAAATGGTGCAAGCCAGCAGCACAAAATACCTTGATATTCTTAAGAAGTTTGTAGAGGTCTTCAACTTCATCTCCTTGGTTTTCTGTATATACTTTTCCTTGATCCACTGAAGATCCCTGTATTGTCCCTCGATACAGAGGCAAGTCCATGGCCTCAGCGTACAGGTCTATGGCATTGTGACCCACAGTCTGGTACATATAGCTGTCCAGTTCATCAACTGTTGTAATTTAACAGTAAGAAAATAGAAAATCACATTCTGCAAAGTAAATGCACTGGCTGGATGGTTGAAGCCCAGGACTCTTAGTTTGAGCCCTGTCTGGATCATAGTGTTGTGCTCCTGGGCAAGACACTTTATGCCCACAGTGCCTTTCTTCACCCCCCCCCCCCCAGGAGTATAAATTGATACCAATAGGGGGAAGGGGGATTACCCGAGATGGTTTGGCATCTCATCCAGGGCAAGTAGCTAAAATCCTAGTCACTTCATGCTACCAAAATTAAGTAAAAAAACCGACTAGAATAGGTTGTATACAGCCACTTCCCCACCCCTTTTATTACTTTCTAATGCTGTGGGGGGGGGGGGGGGGAAGCAGTATGTATGACTGGATGGGTTACTGGACAGTTTTCAATGGTTAGGTCACTCTTTCGAATCTCAAAACATATTCACCCGCAAAATTTAATACAAAGTTTGTTATGACGGGAGAAAAATTAAATAATGTCCGGAGAAAACTCCTTCATAACAATCCCCTTTTTTATTAATCACACATACCTTCCCCTCTTGGCTTCAGATTAGCAAGTGCAACGATAGTGTGACCTTGTTGAACGCACTGCATCATGTTGTAACAGCTGTCCTTTCCCCCGCTAGTAAAGAAGAAATCAAAGCAGCTGTGAAGCTCTGGTGCACGTGTGCTTCGAACAACATCAAATGGTACGATCAACAGTGTATATCTATTTTCCCTCAGAAGAAGTCAAATAGTCACCTGATTAAAGCAACAACCCTCATCATTAAAAAAGGAAGATTTCGTCGACAATCTCTGATCACATCACCTAACTATTCCACTGTTAATAAACCAAGCTGTTTTTTTTATCCATTCGAGCTCAAATCTGCCGCCATTTTGGACGCACAATAACTCAGCGGATGCCGCACGACTGTATGCGTGAAGTGCACGTAGTAATATTGCGCAGTATGTTGTTGTTTCGCGCTGTGTTCCCGCCTTATTTGAATCTATTTTGATAAAACTACGAATATCGCATCCATTTTCATATAAATTGTACCGGTGATGGTTGAAAATCCAAGCGTGATGGATGATCAAAACGGATCTGCAATAACTGAGGATGAAGCTGCGTTGTATGACAGGCAAATACGGCTTTGGGGCCTAGATGCTCAAAAACGGTAGGTATTCTAAACAGCTGTTCTCTATTTTCTCTTTGAGTCGAAACTTCGTTATAGAAAATTAAAATGACTGTTTTTGGATCTGCTCGAGTTCGAATTCGTAGGAGAAATCTGATGATACAGATTAAGCATCAAGCGAACCCTCTTTTGTACTATGTTATCTTTTGTTGTGATTTTTCCGCTTCAGGCTGAGAGCTTCACGTGTTTTGCTGGTTGGCATACGAGGTATTGGTGCCGAGATTTGTAAGAATCTTGTGCTATCAGGTGTGAAGTCCTTTACAATAGTAGATCCCAATCCTGTAAATGAACAAGATTTTTTGTCACAGTTTCTGGTGCAGCGACAAGATTTGGGAAAGAACGTGAGTCTCAAGTCTATGTACATTTAAGTTTACAAGATAAGGGATAACGGCTTTTCCCCACAAAGGTAACCTGTTTTAAAATGATAATTGATCCTGTAGTCTGAATGTCGTCGACAGTGTCAGGCTACTTACCTAGGTGATCAGACTGGGTAAGGGTGGGGAATGGTTACCCTTGACTGAGAGCAATTTACCGTATCTAACGATGAATGAAAGATGTTGTGTCTACACCAGTCAGTGTCTAGGAGCATTATAGCCCTTTCATGAAATCAGCCTGCATTTGGAAAAGGTTCCAGCCAATTAAGTTCTGGAGTCATAACATCAAGTCTGGCACCCAATTGAAGCCAAAGAACTGGACTGTGAGAGACTGGATTTCACATAGTTACATTTCTTAAATGCATTGTAGGCAAGGTTGGCATTTGACAATTTGGCATTGATCTTTCATTAGACATCACTAAACATGTTTGTGGATTTGCATTATTACCTAAGCTACATGTATCTTAACCCTTTAATCCTAAGAGTGACTGGCATCTAATTTCTCCCCACTGTGTCACTATTGAATTAAAAAAACTTGCATCATGAGGATAAAATAAATAATCGCTAACTTAAGAAATTCTTGATTTTCAAAAAAAATTATCTTAGTCAACACTGTAGGAAATTTAAAGAGAACACTATAGGGAAGATGGAGAAGGTGATAACTGATGTAAGAGCACAAAGGTTAAACTCTTCATATCTTAAACCAATTTTGGTGAGTACCAGTGGTTTGCAATATTGCAACTCCTCCCTTGATTTTACTGTAGCGTGCAGAGTCTTCTCTACAACGGGCTCAGCAACTCAATCCTATGGTACAAGTTACAGCAGACAGTGAGGATATTTCCAAGAAAAGTGATGATTTTTTAAAAAATTTCGATTTGGTGATAGCCACAGACTGTTCTGCAGATCAGCTGGTAAGTAATTCTGCATAGAAAACTCCTTTCTTAGTTTTACTAGTAAACAATATAATATCACAATGCTGCAATCTGATTGGCTACACTGCTTGCTATTTGTTACATGATGGCTAGTTAGTAAAACAAGTAGTATAGCAGTGTACCATCTTATACAGAATGAAAAAATAAATGATGATGATGTCTTCTTGGTTTTTGTATGACTGGCAGATTTATTACAAAGCAATTTGTGTAGTTGCACGTGATTGCTAAGGGAGTGAGTTGATTTTGACTTCCCCCTTTTAAACTACCAGATATTAATATAACAAGTTGAATTACACATTTAACCCTTTAAGTCCCACAAGTGACCAAGACAGAATTTCTCCTTACACTATCAGTACAATATCAAACAGACAAGTAATGAGAATAAAGAAAAATACAAATTAGGGGATTATTAGTTCATCCAATTCCAAATTCTCCAAACTAACATCATATGAATTGTATAGCAGACAGTAAGGAGAAGTACTAATGAGATCTTGAGAGTTAGAGGGTTAAGCATTTTGATTTGTTCTTACCTATGATCTATTGAAGGAAAGATGCTTAGATGTCATTACCATTAAAAACATTTTGCTTCTTTATTATATAATTGAGAGACACTTAGATAGCATTACCATCAACAACATTTTGCCTCTTTATCGTATAAACAAATAGATTCTCTGTAGTGGTTGGTCTGTTCAATAATAGATCACAGAAGAAGTCAAAATGTAGTAAGAATATCAGTGACATACTCGGCTGTGCCCCAACTGTCACCTTTTTGTTCTTGCCTCATTTTGATGTCAGCTATGATCTCCTACTGAACAGATGCGTGGGAACATAGAATCTATAAACATAATTTATCAGCTTATAACCTTATAGATACTGAAGGCTAGTGACTGACAACTTCCTGCTTTATGCAGTGATGTGTGAGAGTTGAATGTATTTCCCAAAAAAAATGTATGTGGGTTTTTGGTCCAGTTTTGTGTGCAGTTACAGTGTAGCCCAGATGTTAACCTCCTACTTGATGGAAAATTCCTAATCATGCTACTCTTATTACGAGTAATTTAATTTTGACATATAAATTTTCTTTATTTAACCCTTTAAGTCCCATTAGTGACCAAGAAAGAATTTCTCCTCACACTATCAGCACAATATCAAGCAATCAATAAGGGGATTATTTGTTGATCCAATTCCAAATTCTCCAAACTAACATCATATGAGTTGTATAGGAGACAGTAAGGAGAATTACTAATGGGATCTTGGGAGCTAAAGGGTTAAAATGAATTCTCTTTGTTTCCTAGATTCATATGAATGATGTTTGTCATGCTAATGGTGTAAAGTTCTTTGCTGCTGATGTGTTTGGCTTTTATGGATATATGTTTGCAGACCTTGGAGAACACAAATATGTAGAGTATGTCAATAAAAGTTTGTTGTGATAGTCTCAACTAAACATAAAAATTTGCAGCAATTTGGTAAATTCCAGTCATTATGACAGGGCTCCAAGCTGCAATCATTTTTGTCACCATGGCAAGTAGAAAAAAAAAATTTAGACAACTAAATTCTCGATAGGAGTTGCTTAGGGTCGTAAAGGCAGAAATCTAGTTCTGGAGATAAAGACTTGCATATAGACTTGAAGAGATACAGAATTGAGATGTATTGATCTTCTCAAGTTTGAAGCCTGTTTTTGGTCAGTCCACTCAGCAGTTACAATTCAGATAAATTAGTTGTATATTGCAATATTTGTAAGTATGTTGTCTTTAGCATGACAATCTCTTTTCAATGAACTCATGTCATTCAGAGAAAAACCTAAAGTTGTTACAGCATCAGAAAGGAAAAACTCAAGTTCTGATGGTGAACCAGAAGCAAAACGTAGAAAAGTTGATGCCAGTGAAACTGTCATAGTTCAAAAGGTAATGACTGTCTCATCCAAAATTTGACTGTTACTGAGGAAAAAAAGTAATCAAAATTTCATTGGGCATCAACCTGTGGGACATTTAAAAAACTTGCCTCCAGATAACAAGTGAGGAGGATCATGAATCATTAATATCAAGAGAACATTGAAACTGTTTAAATAGCTATATTTCCTTTTCATCTGCTAAAAATAATGATTAGAGAAATTTTGACTCATTTTTCCATTGGGACTTTCAAAATTACAATCAACTTGAAGAGGACCGTAAAATATGCATTTAGTAGGATAGAAAAACTCAAAAGGTGCATTATTGACCCTTAAACTCTTAGAAGTGATTAACATGTAACTTCTCCCTATAATATCCAACATCATCTAGCAAACAGGTATTGAGAAGACTGAAAGTTATCGATGGAAGTTTTTATCTTGATGTCCAGCAGATAGGAAGGGGGTTTAACAATCAGATCTTGGAAGTTGAAGGGTGAAACAAAGCAGAATTAACCCTTTAACTCCCATGAGTGACCATGACAGAATTTCTCCTTAAAATATCAATACAACATCAAGCAGGCAAATGATGAGAATAAAGAAAAATATCAGTAAGGGGGTCATAAGTTGATCCAATACCAAATTCTCCAAACTAACATCACAAGAACTGTATGACAAACAGTAAGGAGAATTACTGATGAGATCTTGGGAGTGAAAGGGTTAAGGAGTGCTAATGACAGAAAAGATTAAAACAGATTGATAATGCAATAAAAGCGCCAATGATTTTGATTTCATTCTGTATAATGTGATGGGTACTAATAGTAGGTTGTTTAGTTTGCAGAATTCTATCGATTGAAAGCTGCATTATCATGCAAACTAGATGAAAGACCTGAAAAGATTTTGAAAAGATTACCTTCTGTATATTTTATGATAAAAGGTATGTGAAAGTTTATCAAAGCTTCTCATAAATTTAGTTTTATTTTGTTATGGTATTAAAAAAGTAATTTTGCTTACTCATTGGAATTGATTGTAAGCAATTCTCTGAAAAAAATTTTAAAACTTTGCTCTCCTTTTTCATATGTACTGTTCCTTTATTTAACCTTGATTTTACAGTTCTGCTAAGATTTCGCAGCCAGTATGGCCGACTGCCACAGACTTCCACAAGCTCTGGGGACAAGGAGAAATTGTTGATACTACGAGATGATATAATGAAAGAACTGAACCTTGATGTGACACTTCTTCCTGAGGAATTTGCTTCGTAAGTGTGTTCACTGTTAGCTTTTTGTGTCTATGATGTTTGATGAAAAATGATTTTCTATCAACTTGAGACTGTAAAAAGTTCCAGAAATTTTTAGTTATTTGCTGATAACAATGTTTTTATAATACTTTCCAACTGACAGCTACTGTACTGCAGAAGTGAGTCCTGTGTGTGCCATTGTTGGCGGCATTGTGGGGCAGGAGGTTGTAAAGGTAAATTTATAACAGTTTCAGTATACCATTTTTTTGAGAGGCATGTGGACATGATAATGTTTTAGTTAATACTGGAGGCCTAAAATGATTTGATAGAAAGAGAACTTGTTGCAGATATGTCCAATGCTGTAACATGTTGGGCTGAAAACAAAAATTTCATAGAAAAAAGGGGGTTCACCACACTCACTTCTGTTTGATTCTCTCCTTTTTGACAATACTCTTGCAAACCTTACTCTGGACAACAACAGGCAGAAATCATGTACATCAAGGATTGAAAATGTAATACCAGGGAATTACTTCAAAAGATGTCAATGTTCGTACAATTGTTTGTTAGGGCCAAACATGACAATGATTTAACATCTTTCATGTCAAATATTTCACTTGCAGTAGTGCATATCTGTGAGTCAGATCTGTTTTATTCATGTCTCTAAGTAAGGAATGAGTACTCATTGGTTATTGGCAAATATCTCATCATGAAATTTTTAGCATCTAATGCCACTACTCTGGTTATTATTTATCTTCATTCTACTGTAGGCTGTTTCAGGAAGAGATGCCCCACTGAATAACTTCTTCTTCTACAATGGTGTCGAGGGTCATGGATCTGTGGAATGCTTTAAATGATGTTCAAACAATCTTACATTTTTCTTATAACTTTAACTGAAAACAGGGAAGTCCTGTCACACGACACTTTGCTTAAAAGGACATGAATCACTGGCCATCTTTGAACCTCGTTGTGTGGTGGGCCACAGGGTTCCCACTGAAGAGACAAATTACTTTGAGATGTGCGAGTCACATTTGTTGTTGTTGTTGTTGTTCTTATTATCATTGTTATTATCCTTATTATTATCATTATTATTATCATTATTAGTATTAGTATTATTTTCATTTTTATATTATTATTATTTTATGAAAGATGAGCATTTTGTTATAAGTAAATAACTAGTAATTAATTGTAAAATATTATTTTAAGTGTATCTGATAGTAGTCCAAGGGTTTTGTGCCTGTACCTTATTTTTGTTACTATTTCTACGATTAACATCAGGATGGCATATGATCTCAAAATTTTGATAGAAAAAGGAACACCGTACGACTTTTCGTGGGAAATTTTTGTACATTGACAAACGAAAATTTATATGTAGCTCGTTTTAATTTTGAGCAAATTACAGATTGTCCTTGATCTTAAAAATGAAATTCTTACTGAAAAAAAATCCCGCAAAACAAAACACTGCAAATATTTACTAAAGGAGTCCATAAAAACCCTCAGGGGAGTAGGCAGAGGAGTAAGCAGATGGTAAGGCTGGGGTAGGGGGTAAGTCCCTTGGTTTGATTAAAACTGCTCAACATTCAGATGTTTGAGGGGAGTATTTCACTTACGCAGGAAAATGAACAGGAGAGAATGTTTTTGAATGGGCGTCATGGATATATGTGAAGAGAAGTAAGGGCATAGCGAATGCCGCTTAGGGTCACTCAGGAAATATACTCCCAGCTTTTTGCCATTGATGAATAGTGTTTCAAATGGGTGGGATGTAAGATATGAAACAGTTAAGGAAGCCTTGAACAAAAACAGCACGACCGAACGCGCGTTTTGCCATTTTGATACCGATCAAAAATTTTTTTTCGCAGGCAATTCCACAGGCGATAAGACCTTTCGTTGGAAAGAAGAAACTTCATTTGTTTCGTGAATTATCAGCTTTCTGAAAGAAATTAACTTAGTACTCTTCAAGGAAAAGTCTTATCGCCTGTGGAGTTGAGGTCTAGGACAGACGAAAAAGAAAAAACAGCGAAACGACTCAGCGTTCACGAAACCAATTCTTTACTTATTGAGGTTGGCCAGATCCTCTCGGTCCACTAAATGAAGGACAAAACGGTCGACCAGAGGCTGGCTTGAGGTTTTCCCAGTACGCTCGATTAGCCCTATAAAATACAAGAAACAGAATTATCGTCAAGGAGAATTAGAAAAAAAAGAAGAATGTCACGAAGAGCCAATGGAAACATAACGTTGACACAAGTGAACTGCCTAGAGCGCGGGAAAACGAGGGCGGCCAGATTGCGGTTGGTTTTCGTAGGTCGTCGGATTGGTTTAGAAAGTGGCGCGAGTTTACCGGACCAATCACAAAGCGAAATACAGCTAACGCCATCTCCCAATCAAAGTTGCTCAAGTTTTGATTCTGATTGGTTGAGAGGGTCAGGTGGCGCTACTCTCCAGACAAGTCACAAAGCGAAGTAAGGATAACGACGATGCATTTTGGGATATTTTTCGATACTACTCCGTTGCAAGAACTAAATCTTAGTATACCTAACTTAGCACTAAAGTGATAGCCATAGAACTTAAGTCACCTCGCGGGCGCTTAGGGAATTGTGAGAGGGAATGCTTGAGACGGCCATCTTGAAAAATTTGTGGAGCTTAAAAGTTTCTGTGTTCCCAGGTGTACGCACTTGAGAAGGAATTCTATTCACAATTCGTTACGGACCCACCTTGCTCGAATCGAGTCTACCGAATGATGTTTGAGTGCCTCTCCCCAAGGACTGTGTTTTTCGCTGGCGGCGGGTAATCTACCTCGTTCAGGAGCAAGCTAAACAGGAAATGGAATTCATTTCTCTATCTATAAAGTTGATAAATAAACTCATCCCATTTTAGAGAAACTGGTCTCGTAGCTTACTTGAAAACCTATTTTTTTCCGTATAATGGGTTAGTCAAGGTTTGATTATTTTCCCAAATTTATATCGAAGACCATTTCATTACCGGAGCACCCACTCACCCTGTGTATACCTCATATGAATGAAGAGAAAGCTGCCATCTCTGTCGAAGTCACCTTTAAACAAAGCCTCGAGTCTTAAAATTTCCACTCTGATTTATACACAAAACCTGCCAACTTTTGACGCGAGGCATTCATCACGAGTGAGCCTAGATATTTCGCAGCGAACCCGATCATATCGAAAGAGATTTCCAAAGACGTTCCCGACGAAGAATTCCGAAGGCGTTCGAATACTTCCGATACAAGTTCGTGTCCAGGGCTCTCGCCTCTAGGACCAAGATTATCACTCCTTTGAGGAGTCTTTTTTCTCGCTCTGGTTTTCTTGAAGATCGTATTAACGTTTTGTTCATTTTCAAAAATGAGACAGTCCATGTCGTAACGATTCACATCGTCTATTCTTTGTTGTTCTACACTGATTGCACTTCGAAAAATGTCTCGAGAGTTAGATGGGAACATACCTCTTCTGCTATAGCCCGGATGTGGTATGGTTGAAAACCACAACAACCACCGATGTACCTCACTCCCATGTCGTAGGCCCGCCGAGCGTACTTGTGCACATCCCAGCGAGTTAATGTGCGAGGCTCTAAGGCTTAAAGAGGAGAAAAAAGGGTAAAAAGTTTGAACTCTGATGGTAGATGAGTATAGATTTTACATCAATAAAAACAAAAAACAAATTATAAATTGAGGGAAGGTAAACTGACCCACTCTGCTTGGGCAGTGAATCTTAAGAGTAGTTTTCTATTGAGCACCGATGGTAATCTAGGATTGCTTTACTCTGATTGGTCTAGAAAACCTGTACCACTTTCTCAAACAATCAGAATCAAATTTTAAGTCAGTCTCGCTTCAACTACTCGTTTCAGTAGTGTTTCTTAGCTGCGAGGATCTCTTAATTTTCATCTTTCCATGTGAATGTGAATTTTCATATATCTAAAATCCTCATTCACTTTGATGTTTATTTGGACCCAATTCATTGACCAGCTCCCAGTTGGCTTGTTAGCTCAATTGGTAGAGCGCTGCACCGGTATCGCAAAGGTCATGGGTTCAAATCCCGTACGGGCCTGAAAAAAAATTTTTTCAGGTCCTATTAACAACTACTCGTTTCAGTAGTGTTTCTTAGCTGCGAGGATCTCTTAATTTTCATCTTTCCACCGCAGTGCAAATATGTGAATTTTCATATATCTAAAATCCTCATTTAGTTTGCTGATTTTTACCATCCGTTCTTCCGTTCTTAAGGGAACGTTTTGATATTTCCCTTTCCTCTGATTGGCTGTTGAGAGTCATTTGGTTTTTGTTTTACAACACTCAAATTGAAATGCGCTCTAAGGACAAACACGATTAGCAGGGGTTCCTCTCGGTCGGGAACTAGAGCGAGCGTATATTGGCCTCGGCATGATAATGAGTCTCCGTGACAGTTGAGATATCTTACACTCTACTAATATAGATTTGATTTTAACAAAATAGAAGCATAGCAAATGTGTGGGTAGCTCACTAAGGAGTTAAAAATCACACTTACCAAACGGAGTCTCTGGTAAATCAACAAATCCTATTTCAGTATCTGGAGTATGATAACCCACCGGTTGAACCATCAGGTAGGTTTTAAGTCCTTCCTTATCTAACGCCTCTTTCATCAGACTAATGGTCTGTAAACTTTTCTCAGGATCAAAGCAACAGTTAACACCTACCAGGTCAGCACCTGAAAGATAAAAACTTGTTTCACTACACTATTTCGAGTTCAAATTTCACTGTTTGAAATGTTGTGGAGGTAAACTTGAAATAACTAACAATAGCCTCTATTTGGCGCGGAAATATGCCCGGATATTTGTCCGCGGACATTATCTGTTCCAAGATGCGAACAGTTTTCCGAGGAAAACTGTGAGCTTCGAGGAACAAATTATGTCCTGGGACAAGTATACGAGCATATTTTCGCGCAAAATAGAAGCTTTTGTGTTAATCGTCCTTTTAATTTTTTGCATTGCGCGTGAAACTATGCATACAACCAGCCTAATGTTTGCTGCATGGTATGTTCTCTTTTGAGTGTGTTCGGGTATGTCTTTGATGAACAAAGAAATATTTACGATCTTCTGTAACAACCATAAAACGCTCTCTTATCTTGAATTAAACTTTAGAGGAAGACTTCAGTATCTTAGTGGACGTGAGGCTTGAAAAATAGGGAATATCACTTGGGTGATATATCGGATATCCCCCAGTTTTAGCCGGGGAATATTCGGTCTTGTGATGCACTTAGACCAATCGCTTGTGTGCAAAAGTATTTGATGTATCTCAACTGATAATACCACGTCTTTTGAGCAAAATTGGATCACGTCATAAAGTGTCAAGCATTTATTCTGTGTTCATTGTGGGGTTCTATTAAGAGCCAATCATAGCAAGGAAAGTGACCAAATCGTGTTGGTTTTAGTGTCGAATCTGATTGGTTGAGAGCGTGCGGCGAGTTTTCTGGACCAATCATATAACGAAATGGGGCAAAACCAAAGCAGTCACGGATTACTTTCGACTCTCAACTGAAAATTGCTGTAAAGGTAAAGTACGTTATGTTTCTTCATGTTATAATGCTCTGTGCTAGTTAAATTCAAGGTACGTCGCGGAAAGCTATGACATGTCAAAGCCACTGAATGTCAAGTCATCTTATGTTTTTTCAGCGTCATGCGATGTAAAAATGTCATCTATTCCGACAGGTTATGTCACTTATTTTTACGGTGAGTCACAAAAACACCACATTGCGTGTCAATCAATGTCAGTATATTTCGCTTTGACAAGGGGCTAACGCTCGAAACGTTAGCTTTAGAACACTCTCTACAGTGGCCAATGTACATTATAAACCCATTTGATAAAGCCAAATCATCTTGTTATACTCCCCAACCGACATGGCACCACAGTTTCTGCAGAAACTTACCCCCTATATTCAATGTCAGTACATGTCATGTCACACTGTGTCACGTCAAGTCCTGTCGCATCATGTCATGTCACACCGTGTCATTGCAAGCGACGTCACATCATATCACGCCATACCAGCCCTTGCCAGCCTCACTGCACATTCGCCTGACGGTACATTCTGCATGTCACCCTTTGGTCCAATTTGCATGGTAATGGCTACTGGTTTTCCTGTGGACTTCATCACCTCTACTGCCCATTCCGCTTCTTCTACATTAGCAAAGAACTGAAAAGGAAGGGCACTTTCTTAGGAGATTTGCCAAATGACAAGGTAATCAAAAGCTGGTACGAGAGAGAATATCAACATGAAATCCAGACGCAAAGCTTAAAGATAGCAGCTAATGCCTAAGTCCTGATCATTTCTTTAACCCTATATACAATAACATCAGTAAGCATATTCTCTATACTGTTCTCTAAATATTTCCTAAGGTGCTGACAAGGAGAATTTGTCTAACAACCAAGAGCTTCTTTAGTACGTGATCAGTTCCTTTATTCTCCTGACCTTTATGTTTGATTTAGGGGTGATGGGTAAGGAGAAATTAGATACCAGTCACTTCAAAAGATATCCTAGTCATTTTTAGCCTTTTATAGCCTCAAAAATGTGACTTGGTTAGAAATCTTACGACTGCTAGTTTCTTGCGAGACAGACTCTAATATTACAAATTACACAAATACAGCATGGGCTAATCTAGGCGGGTATTACTGAGTTACATTAAGCTAAAAGATAAAATTATCATGCAATTACAAGTTAAAAGTTAAATTAACGAACACATAAACATGCACAGCCAGTACAGCAGGCAGGGCAAATAATCACTAGAACTAGCGTTGAAACGAAAGGTAGAGAGAGGAGGCTGGAAATCTTACCTCGCCAATGAGAATATCCGCATCATTCTGAACGAAAATCTCGATTTCATCTCTAAACTTCTTCATTACAACATCTTTTCCAGCACCTTTCTGATACAAGAAAGCAGTCTGACATATACAACCTGCAAAGTACACCCCTCCTTCTTGTGCCACGCCCTTGGCAAGGTCGCACGCTGCTTGGTTTATTCTCTGGGTCTGAAAGAGAGTTCGATGATTGATCTTAAAAATGGTCTAGATAAACGGACCGTATTTAATATTGGCTTACCATTGTGCTATTCCTCGCGAGATTCTGAGAGAACACGAGGAAAGGCTGTAAACCATAACCCAAGATATCAACGGTCTATAATTTTTGAAAATTACTCTAGAATTAACAGTAAAGAATAAACAAAGGAATGTGACCTATCAGAGCTGCGTACAATCTCAGCTGTTAAAACAGACCCCAAGCAGCCCAAAAGTGCGCACAATGAGCCTCTGTAAATATGTTTATGTCTCAAAACTAACGAAACTTAAATATTTTTGTGTAGTAATAAAGGGTCGCATGCTAAACCCAGAAATCTGCCCTCTTTTAAGGGTAAAACAGGGGAACTAAAAACGAGCTTAATAGCCATAAATCAGCCCAGAAAACTCACAAGATTCATAGAAACAAACACGAAAGCAAACTAGTTCAAATTGCTAAGCGACCGTTCATTCTCAAATAAATCCTAACATATCGACTATTGTGCAACATTAACATATTTACATATTTACAGAGGCTCATTGTGCGATTGAACAAACACATAGTCACCCCTGGGTAACAGGAAATACATTTTCTGAGAGAATTAATGAGATGGGAGTTTTTTTACTTCGCAAAAAACGGAAATTGGAAGGAAAGAGTTCGCCAACCAATATCCGGTTTGATTTCCATCCATTTTGGAAATGCCCCCGTAAAAGAAATATCCAAAACGGAAAAATCTCGTTTATCGCATCACAAGCATGCAACCCAAGCGCTCACAAAAACAGTAACTCTCTCCACATGCTCGCTCTCCACAAGAATCACCCGTCAATCACACTCGGTACCGGTTTCCGTCACATCCGGCTCTCAGAAGGCGTTCACCCTAACAAAATATTAGTCTTTCTAAAGAACAGCCCGCCTCGTTTTCGCGAAAAATTTATCACCTCACCCCATATTTGGCATGGTCTCCTCCCAAGTCATCGTCCATAGAGAATGTGAAACCTTGAATGACGTCAGCTCCTGCTCGAAGAAACTCACGATGAAGCTGGCGAACTACAAAATATAATTATCGAGGATGAGAAAAGGGATTGTTAAGAAAAATGAAGAGAACGAAGATTGAAAATAAGTATTTTATGCAGGACTAACGAAATGAACGAAGAAAACAAGGGACGGCGAAGGAACTTTTTCAGCCAACGTCGCCTACGAGCAGGCCCCCATTTCGCCCCATCATTTTAGCGCTGCAGGATTTGAGACGAATCGAGAAGATCGAGGTTTGCCGGAGGTCAGGCACTAATAATAAGTAGCGATCGAAGCACTAATAGTCCTCAAATTAAAAAAAAAAAACTGACCTCCGTCGGGATGTTCCACGTTGCATTCCGGTGTCCAAGGTCCTGCTTTTACATATCCTCGTTTTTCCAAGGCATATGTCATCCCTCCATCTCCTACTAAAACCTCACCAGCGTTAAGGCGCTCTAAAATACCAGTCTCAGACAGAATAAGAAATCACAATGAAAATCAGCAACAAAGATATCCAAGGCATTTTTTCTTAACTAGGTCAACCCTTGAATTTAACCTCTAGAAGTTAGGCTTCACTTGGTGAGTCATCATATGTTAACGAACTGTTTGATTAATTGTAAAATTTCATAATGATAAAGTTAAAAGAAGTTACAGCTGTATGGTATGGAAAATTTTGAAATTTTCTGCCTAACTTCGATTTTAGTGGTTATTTGATGAAACAAAAGCATCATATGGGCATGTAACCCAGGAAAAAAAAACTGTTCCTTGCAAAGAAAGTTTAAGAGAAAAGGTTTCTCAAGTGTCACGCAACGGAAGAACTTTGCGTGACGATTTGTAAATGCAAATACCTAACGAAAGTGGTGTGAAAAGTGATTAGCATTTGGTGTATTTGAGACCGTGCCCGACAGTCAGAAATATTCACCGAATTTTCAGTGAAAATCTCAAGCAAATCTCATAAGAGTGCTCGATATTTAGCTAGAAATGCCCAGCGATTCCAAAAATTTGGATGGTTTTTAGTTGACAAATTTTTCGAGCTTGTGTCTTATGATCGATCGCTCGGTCAGGTCGACGACCTAGCGGTTTTTACGGTATGCACTGAAAACTAGATTGATTTTTGGAATCGCTTGACATTTCTAAACAATCATCTGATACTCTTAAGAGGCTTGAAAGAACATTTCAGTGGAAATTCTGTAAAAATTTCTGACTGCTGCGCCGTGCCTGGTTGCAGTGTATTTGACACTGCGAACGGTTGCATTAGAAAAACATTTGCATAGCTACAATATGACACTCACCTTTCCAGTACTTGACATACTTTGCTTCCAAAACTTTGATTAAAAAGAACTGATCAAGCCTTCTTTCTTCTAAGAACGTCTTGAAAAGTCGAGAGGTGAATTCATGGACAACACCTTGAGCGAGAGAGTGCAGTATCTTTTGTGTTGCTTAGTCATTGGTCCGTTGCGTGACGAGTGTAATTGGATGAAGCTTTCTACATCATCAGTACAAATTTGCTTAGGACGAGTGCCAATTTTCTCCTGGCTTTCGGTTAGCCAATGCTAGTCTAGGCGGGCCAGTTTTTTAAGAATCTGAGTACAAAGAATTTATAATCGTAGAAAAAAACGATTTACAATACATTAAGAAAGAAAAAAAAAAGATGACAAATTGTTTATAAAATGGAAAGGGAGGGAACTAGCGCTTCGAATGAAAAACGAATGAAAAGTTTTATTTTTTTTCTTTTGACTTATGCATTTTATTTAAGTGATTATCTTTTTTGTATCAGTAAACGAACTTCTTCTCGAACAATTAACAGTACATTTTGTGTATTTCAAGGAATTCACTCTAAGTGACTCTGTGATGCAGCCCTACCCCCCCTCCGTTCCTTTTCACCTATGAGAAAGCTCGGTATCACATTGCATACTTGAAAAAGCGTTTCTTCTTCGATAACTTGTATGCTAGAATGATTACTTTAATTCTGGTTTTTCTTATAACAGAAACTGGTCTATTACAACTCGTATTTCGCTTTTTACCTCCTTACAGGGCAACAGGGGGCAATTTTCATCCGAGTTCATCGCCAGTCCACCTCATGTCCCATGCGCTAGTACTGTTCCGTCGAAAGATCTAGCTTTCGTAACCTTAATAGGGCCAGCTTATGAAAGGATTCTTGGGTTCCTATTATGTTCACTTCAAAATATGCGTTAACAGTCAGGGAGAGTTTAGTCTCCCCTCTCCTACGGATGTTATGTATACCTCTCATTCCCGGGGAGAAGAGCCCTAGGAACCATTCTACCTTCCAGGCTGCAACTAGCTGGTCGCCTCACTGCAAATTTTAATTTAGAAAGAATTGGTTCGGCGAGGGAACAAAGGTGCAATCACAGCGTTTGGTACCTCTTAAGGTTTTGGGATGATCTCGTACCCAGATCCCACCGTGTAACTGTGACTGAAATAACGACCGCCTAGCCGTGGAGGATCCGGGTAAGAGACTAGCTTTGGGACTACATTTAGTTTCTGGAGTTTCAAGAAAGGTGGGATGAGAGGGATATCTATCCTTTAAGGAATTCTATTATGAGTCAGACCATTACATGGTTCATATGTGACTCGCGTCCTGCATACAGCCAGGATCAACAATGTTCAAGACATCTGCGCGTGAATAAATTAACCTTTTAACTCCCAAGATCTCATTATTAATTCTCCTTACTGTCTGTCATACAATTCTTGTGATGTTAGTTTGGAGAATTTGATATTGTATCAACTTATAATCCCCTAATTGATATTTTTCTTTATTTTCATAACTTGTCTCCTTGATATTATATTGATATTGTAAGGAGAAATTCTGTCTTGGTCATTCATGGGAGTTAAAGGGTTAAAAGGAAGATGATGTTTTGCGGTAGCGATTTCTTTCACAAACGATGGGTGGCAACGTCGATTGACATCGTTACGATGGCTGTATTTTAACTCTTTACACTCTAACATCAGTATGCATATTCTCCATAGTGTTCTCTAAACATTTCCTAAGGTACTGACAAGGAGAATTTGTCTAACAATCAAGAGCTTCTTTAGTTGATGATCACTTCCTTAATTCTCGTGACCTTAATGTTTAATTCTGGGGTGATATGGTGAGGAGAAATTAGTTCCTAGTCACTCTTAGGAGTTAAAGAGTCAAAAATAACACAAGCCATAAAGTTTTTACACTATCGTTTGACACTAAAACCTATGATCGATATCTAGTGCTATCGATCTGCCTCAGAACAACAGCGATTTATAATTAGCGCTTTTAATTGGAGTCTTACAATGGCGTTTGGTGCAACAACACAAACGATTGAGGTTCAGCGCTAACGATTGATCATTTAAGAATGGAAACTAAAATTTATTTACAATCACGATTTGTTGCTAGCTCTAACGACTGAGTTTTACAACAAGCGATTGATAATTCTGGCACAAATGGTTCCCCATAAGCAAGAGGCTTCATTTGTCTATGTTAACTTTCAGTATAGTTACAAGATAGCGAATGGTCAGAAATAATATCTTAAAATTTCCTTTTTGTTCGATTTTTCTATGCGAATACGAATACAAGTTGCTAAACTAAAATTTCTTCTAGCAAGTGAAATTTATGTTCAACTGTGACTTCATCAAGCAGGTCCGTCAAATTTTGAGACCGCGGGAGAGTAAGGACGACCACTAGCAGGTTCCAGATTTTCCCAATAAGCGCGGTTAGCCCTGGGTACAAAAGTGTACGTTGTTAGCATCAAGTAGTTGTCCCTAGATAGCAGAGAAGTACTTAAAGTACGCTTGACATCACACTGATGCCCATTTTAATCAAAACGTTAACAAAATTCTCGGGCGTCATTGGTTATTACCAGCCCGATTTGACACCAGTAGGGCAGTTTACGCTTCATGCTTGTAATTGAACAGTGAAATAGGACAATAAAAGGGACAGTTAACATGTCATGCCGGTGTAACTGGACAGAACGCGTCATGTGTGCGCACTGTTGTCTCGCATTTCACCAAGTTAACTGTTGTTTTTTTTTTATGAAAACGTATACCCGATGTCTAGTTTCTGCCTTAAATTTTATCAAAGTTTTGATGAATTGGCAACAGGAATTCGGTATGTAATCGTATCTAATCATACAAGTGATTAACAAAATCGGACAACCGCGAACGAATCACTACCACTTGCTCCTATTACCATTATAAACCCCAGAGCATCGAAAGCCACAGCGACGACAAAGTGATAGGCTCAAGAACATAACACAACGCCCTTTTTTTAAAGCTAGAAGCAGGACCTCTCGACCAGGATTCCAGCGTAACCCTGGGTCGCCACGTCTCCGAAATCTTTCTTATGTCATCTCTCCCATCTTTTACGGGACCTTACCGAAATAAACAGCGCAAATAACAAAAATAATAAACTTGACTATAGTCAGCGGTAGTTATTACGAAAATATGCGTGAGGAGTTTTACCTTCGTCCCATCCATTCTTTCGGGTGATTTTTATACCCTCCCCCCCACAGTTCGTGTTTTTCACTTGCAACAGGAAGAAAACCGCGTTCTGGAGAGAGCTGAAAATGAATAAATAAAAGAAAAAAATTCAAAAAATTTGACAAGAATTTTCTTCAAGGGATAAGCTTGGACAGGTCTACCCTCGATTCTTAAATCACATCTCCGTAAGTTATGTAACCCTTACAACTGGCACGAGCAAGCCGAGGCAAGATTGTGGACATGGCTTTCGATAACATTTTCTGATGTCTTTTGCTATTACGAAAAATATCATTAAAAAATTCCCGTACTTCCTCTGCGATAGCCCGGATGTGATATGGTTCGAATCCACAGCAGCCGCCGATGAACCTCACTCCCATGTCATAGGCTTGCCGGGCGTATTTATGTGCGTCCCATCTGGTAAGTGTACGAGGCTCCAGAGCTAAATTAAAGAGAAGTAAAAGGAAAAAGTTGCTTTCAGCGAGTTAGATATCTCTCTTCTGAAAAGTAATAATGTTTTCTCAATCTATCTATCCCTCAAAGTTGAAAAGAACCGACCAATCAGAATTCGCAATAAGAAGCGAACCAGCAAATCAGAACAAGCGGTCTAAATCAAATAACCAATGATAACGTGCCTTAGTATAAGGTATACACACAGCCAAGATTTTAAGATTAATTTCTTACCAAATGGTAGCTCGGGTAAACTAGCAAATCCAGCTCTTCCGGCGTCTGGAGTGTGGTAACCAACAGGCTGGATTATCAGATGAGGACTGAGTCCTTCTTTATCCAGAGCTTCTTTCATTAGAATGAGAGTTTTTATGGAAGTAGTGGGATCGAATTTACAATTTACTCCAACGATATCAGCACCTGACATCGAGGAAAGAGAGAGAAATGTATTTCAATCCACCTTTATACAGGCATGCATTCATCAAGCCCACATGAGAAGATTAAACCACAGTGACTGATATTGTTTCGGCTAGAAAACGCACTAGCCCTTGAAGATGTCAATTTATATCGACAATTAATAGGAAAGGAATAGAAGATTTAAAGAGAGGAACAAATTGGGCATTTCTGAAAGAAGGAATATATTCTCCATGAAATAAGATCTTACTTTTGTCACCAAGTCCCGAACCTTAATCGTCCCAAAAATGGGATGCTAATTCATTGCAAACTACTCCCCCTCCCTACCCTAGAATTTCACTATCGGATTTCTTCTTATATTTCAACCCTGAGTTACGTTGACGGTTCGCACGGGCCCAATACAGTTCGACTACATTCTGGCGGTAATATAAACCACAGAAAGTGATTATAACCCCTTGGCCACAGTAAAATGTCTAATGTTACCTGCTCTTGCCAGTCTCACTGCGCACTCTCCTGGTGACACATTGGCAAAGTCTCCCTGTGGTCCGATGCACATCGTAATGGCAGTTGGTTTACCTGTGGTTTTCATCACTTCTACGACCCATTCAGCTTCCTCGCCATACTCAAAGAACTTAGAAGTAATAGATAAATGCAACAGTGTGACCATGTCAGAGCTCACAAACACACACGAGACAACATCGATGTTAAAAGAATGCCTACCTCGGCGATCAGAAGATCCATGTCATTCTTTAGAAATATTTGGATCTGTTCCTCGAATCTTTTCTGTATTTTTTCTTTACCGGCACCATTTACGTAAAGCTTTGCTGTTTGACAGATGGACCCTGCTGCAAACACCCCTCCCTCTTGTGCCACGCCCTTTGCCAGGTCACAAGCAGACTGATTGATTTCGTCGTTCTGTTGAAGGAAGATGGCACGGAGGAATTGAATTTATGGATCAATGTCAGCGTCTGAGAAACTTCACACCTACCCCTCCCTGACTCAACATTAAACCTAACTTGTTATCAGTTGACTAATGTTGAGTTAGGGGAGGGGCAGGTACGCCGTTTCTCAGATACTGACATTGATCTGAGATCATGACAAGAAACCTTTTCTAGATAGGTGGATTTTCGAGGCAAACCAGGTGTGTTCATGGATTTATTAAATAAAACTAAAACCGGGGTCAAAGATACCTTCTCATCAATAACTTCATCATCCATAGAAAATGTAAAAGCTTGAATGACATCAGCGCCAGCGCGAAGAAATTCGCGATGCACCTGACGAACTAGAATAACAAAATAGGTCCGTTAAATAAAGAAGATCAAGAAATGTTAACCCTTTAACTCCCAGATCAAATTTGTAATTCTCCTTACTGTCAACCATACAATTCTTATAGTGTTAGCTCAGAGAATTTAGGATCAACTAATTATCCCCTAATTTATATTTTTCTTTATTCTTATCACTTAACTGATTGATATTGTATTGATATTTAAAGGAGAAATTCTGTCTTGGTCACTCATGGGAGTTATAGGGTTAACCATCTCAAATAGGTGGGTCGAGACAATTGAAAAATGTGAGTCTTTAGAAAATCTTTACAGGAAAAAACTGGCTGATCGCCGTGACATAAGATGACTAAAGCCCCAATAGAATGCCGGGTACTTTTCCATCTGGACTGTGATTCCCGCCTTCTCGCCACAGTTAAGTTGTGAAGTGAAAAGGTACTTAATCTTCCTTCCTGGTGTTGCACGTGGTCATGGCGGCCGGCTGTGTTTTATCGAGCTCGTCAAAATCTAACAAATGTCTTGCTCTACTGCTATTTATTTCATTCCTTTTCGACACACAAAAGTGCTCAATACATTGGGAAGGCGGGCAACGACTTCTAACCGATGTATCAGCAATCCTGCCTCAAAATTCCTGGGATATTTATGGGGCCAGAAGCTGGGCAACTCCGAGAGCGAGTTCGGGCAGAAGTAAATCCTACTTGGCTTCAAGATTTCCGTACACTGCTAACGACACAAGCACCCAACAGCTCAGCCGAATAGTTCTCGGAGGGGACATCCACAAAAAGCCAGGTCCAACGGAAAAGAGAACCCCAAAATACCCTTGTAAGGAGTGTGGGAAAGGAGAGATTACTGAGTAAAGCCGGCTTCAAGTACTATCTGGACTACCCAGATATTGAATGGACCTGCTCCCTATGCTCGCTTCCTTTTAGGTTTGAGCAAAGTTTGGTTGGAGTAGAAAATCTCACTCAACATGGCGGCGAAGGTGAATATGCAAATGAGGATGTGGCTGGATATGCTAATGACTTGCCTGAACCGTGGATAATACAAGAAAGGAAACGGAACACTACCGATCTCATGATGGTTCATCTAAACATCAATAGCTGCCAAAACAAACTGGATGATCTGATATTACTTAACAAAGAATTAAAGTCACATGTGATTTTTCTGTCAGAGACTAAGATCGACTCTTCTTATACCAATGCACAGGTGGCTCTTGAAGGATATCATACCTATAGGGTGGATAGAAAAAAGGGTAAAGGGTGGTGGTGGCCTGATGGCATATTTCTCATCAAAGATGGTATCATTGTGTAAAGCTTCCTAAGCAGTATAAATTACTTGAAATTCTGGCCATAAATGCAACAATAAACAATAATGATGTGTTGTTTGTTGGTATGTATCGAGCCCCAAACACAACTGGCACCGACTACTACCATAAACTGGAAGAGGAATTTAATTCACTATGTATGTGGGCTACAATGGAATGTAACACACTCATACTTACTGGAGATTTGAAACTTGACAGATTAAGACCAGAACGCACAGAAGGGAGAAGCATGGAAGAAAGGAGAGTGGAACCCACAAAAAGGATGACCGGTTGGATGAAAGAAACTATCGTCCAATAACATTGCTAAGCACAGTAGATAAAGTTTTTGAGTCTATGATGAGCATACAAGTGAATAATCATTTTGACACCAAGCTCGATTCCTGCATATCTGCATATAGAAAAAAAAAACATAGCTGTGAAACTACTTTGCTCAGAGTCACTGAAGATTGGAAGCTGGCTGTGGATTCTAAGCAATTTATTGGAATACTCTCAACAGACATGAGTAAAGCATTCGATTCCCTACATCCATCACTTATGATAAATAAACTAAAGGCATATGGCTTCTCAGAGGAATCACTTAGCTTGATGAGATCATATTTTTCCAATCGACAAAACAGAGTTAAACTCAATGGAGTCATGAGCAGTTGGAAGGATGCTGTTAGAGGATGCCCTCAAGGGTCATCTTTTGGACCCCTACTGTGGAACATTTTTCAAAATGATATGACGTATATAGTGAATAATGCAAGCTTGTCAATGTACGCTGACGATCATCAACTTTATGTAAAGGGATATTCAGTTGACTGCGTGAAACAACTTTCAACTGATAGGGGGCACACTATATCAAAATGGTACAAAGATAACTTTTTGAAGGGAAATTATGACAAGTACAATTTAATGTTATTAGGCAGGAAGAACAAAAAATGAGGACAGTCCATCTATCAATGTCAAGATTGATGAACAGGTTATTAAATCATCACCAGACTTGAAGTTACTAGGAGTAACATTAGATGATGAACTTAGTTTTAGTGCTCACATAAGTGATATATGCAAAAAGGCAAGTAAGAAAGTTGGTGTTTTAGTACGTCTTAGAAATATGATTCCCAGAGAAGCCAAGTTACAATTATATAAATCGGCAATTTTACCTAACTAAACAAATTGTCACATAGTGTGGCATTTCTGCAAAGCTTCAGATGCACGAAAATTAGAAAGAGTACAAGAACGGGCATTACGTGCTATATATAATGATAGGAATGCTACGTATGAGGAACTCTTAGAGAAGGGTAGACTCTCCAGTCTTGAGAACAGACGGTTACAAGATATACTAATTTTAATGTATAAGGTTAAAAATTCACTAGCTCCAGAGCATGTATGTAATATGTTTTTTCAGCAAGATAGGCATTATAACTTAAGAAGTGATTTTCCTGTTCCTAGACACAATACTGTTAAGTATGGTAAGCATAGTATTAGATATTTAGGCCCACACATATGGGGCAAGATTAGCCAGGAACTACGCAGTAAGACCAGTCTTCAGGCTTTCAGGAAAGGGGTGCGTGCTCTTAATGTACTTGGCTTGCTGGACGGTACGTGTGGCTGCTGTGCGTGCTCATCTTAGATTGGTGGATACGCATAGTGGCTTCTGCTGTCTGGCTGCCTTGTGTATTGGGGGTGTGCTCCACTATCTTCTATTTAATTCGTCTAATTTAAATTATCTAGACTGTTTAACTCTTTGAATTTTATATTCATGTTTCGACTGCTGCTTATATGTTTGCCCTATATTGTCTGTTTGCTTGTTTGTTCTATTTGATTGTAAAAATTTTATATATTGATGTCATTTTGTATATTGATGATATTTTAAGACTATATTTTTAATGTTTTTACATATACTTACATTGTATTCATTTTATTTTTTTATAGTGTCCACAACTAGCTTTTAGCTAAATACCTTGACACTTTAATAAAGTTTATGTATGTATATATATATATGTATGTTCCTGCTTGGGCGCACAAAAAACATAGATACGTCAATGTCTTTCTGCACTCCAACCATTGATATTTTGTTACAGTATCTCCATACATGCAAAAAAAAAATTCACCCAACCATGTATTTTCCCTGTATAATCCGAGTCAAAATTTTAACCTGCTACGTTCTTCGATTTCCCCCTACCCCTCCTTAGCTCAGTGAAAAAGACGACAAAACCAAAACTACTCTCGGGAAAGGGGTAGGGAGCCGCCTAACCTAAGTAATGATGATGGTTATGTCCTTTTCCCGGATTTCTGTCGGGGTACTTACCAGCCTCCGGACTTTCCACAGTGCACTCTGGGGTCCACGGTCCTGCTTTGACATATCCTCGCTTCTCTAAGCAAAAGGTCATGCCCCCATCGCCGACAATTATATCGCCTGCATTCAATCGGTCCAGAATGGTACCTTTCTACGAAAGATCGGAGGAAATAACACCAAACTGGATTCTTTTTCCTATACTTCGAACAGATGAAAAAGGAGACAGCGAGCGAAGCGTTATTTTGGCGAGTGAGTGCTTAGTATTTTCGAATCTTTGATTTAATGGCAGCGGAAGGCTGGGGAGAGAAAGAAATTTGTCCGATCGCAAGCTTCTTGTTCACCCAAATAAGACGCCTGCACTGCAGGCTAGTGCGCAAAAAATCTGTCCAACACAAGTAAAAACGCTGGTTAATTTAGCTTACCTTGGTGTCTGTCGTGTATGAAGCACTGTTGACAAAAGGAAATAGTAGTTGTTACGTTTTGACCGGATGTTGACATTTCTAGCCGAAGAACTTAAAACTGCTGTCACGCAAAATTTAGCAGCGTTGTGTGATACAGAAACAACGTAATTTATTTGCTGATTCCCAGCTCGGAGGAAACAACGGAAAAATTATCGGGTATCCTAACTGGCGAAAGCTTTCTTTAATTACAATTAAGTGGGAACGAATTCCTACTCTACTAGCTTAGAACAAGATTAGAAATATTTTAATAACAATCGAGGATTCTAGATAACGTAGCCCAAAATTATCAGAAATAATACTTTCGAGACGCTTAACCTCTTTTTGTAAAAATTTCGAAAATAAAATATGTCCAAATGATATATCAACACGACTGAATTTTGGATAAAATGTTTTCTAATAGTGATATTTTACCATCGTATATTTTGTCACTCTAGCGGTACTTTAAAAAAAAAAGGAAAGGTCCAGAGACCGTACATGAAAGATAATCACCATTTGGAGGTCACAAGAATCAGAGTTTAAGCCCTGGCTGTCGAAACAAAGGAATGTTTTCGACTCTTAACCCTTTAGTGGCGAACTAAGCTCTTCAAGGCAGATTACTTAAAGCTCGCCTACGCATAGCCCTCTCTTTAATTCTTTGTGAAATCCAAGTCTGAAATCTTGTATGTCGTGTTCAGCCCGATAATCCTGACAACATAGGAGGTTAGCGTACAATTTGCTTCAAAATAAACTTAGAAATGCTCTTTTACTATAAAATTTTCAACGTTACGCCTTACATGATATACGCACGTACATTGGAGGAATACAAATCAACATGTGGCATTCATCTTGCATGAATGACAACATTAATTGTTATAGATACCTCTGGTTGTAGTTCAATAAATTGCTACAAACACGAGTCACGGCGGACAAATTTCTGGTGGCGTACATCTTGGTGCCTTGCCATAGAAACGGAACAAGTGGACGCCATCCTCCGATCATGCTTGACTTAAACTTCGAACTCGTAAGCAAAGACAGTCGTGAAGCGGAGTGTCCTGCTTAGAAATTAGCATATGGAATATTCGATGACAGCTAATTATAATTACACGAAATTAAACCTGTAAGTACAGATGAGGACAAGAGCAACAACTAGAACGAAATCAGAAAAAAAATTCTAACAGCTGATTGACATACTATATTCTATTTGGAATCATGCGTGTAAATCTTTCTTGGTTTCCAATTCGTTTTTTACACTTTTTTCCTAACTTATTCAATTCAAAAATTATTTCAGTTTTAAATAGACCCTGTGAGCAGGGTAACTGGGATACCTGGATGGTACTGGATCCGTGGAATCAAGTGTAGTGATACTACAGTATACTAGTCGGACTAGTATACTGAAATAGTGAGCTCAAGTCTGGCCAAGGGCATACACCTGTCTCAAAACATAGGCATGCTATGCATGCAAGAGTTATTTTTTGTAGGGTGGGTGGATTACTTGAAACATTGTAAGTGGTCTACATTCTTACAAAAGGAAAGAAGATTATTAACGCGGGAAAGAATGAAAATGTCGAATTACCTCACACACAGGTATTTTGTGGCAGGTTATGTGTGTTGTGCGAATAAATGTAACCAAAAATAAACTGTATTTGTGCCACGGATACCTGTTAGTACAAAATGTAGACAGCAGACTGCAGACCGGATACAAAATATAGACTGCAGAGTGGGTACAAAATGCAGACTGAGAATCTGAAGAGTTTTTACGTCTGGTATATAATAACATGTCATCTTATAGCTTACCGAGCGTCACGCAATCGCTTTTCCGCCATCAGCCTTCACGATTATTTGCACTATTGTGGAAAATTCCTGGCCCATTTCTTGATGAAAATCGATCGTAATATAATTTCAAGCCTTCAACATAGTTGGTTGGTGTGATGTCTGTACAGATTTTACCAATGTAATAAAAGTAGATGACGTGAATAATAGTGATGGTAAAGCAAGCTTAAAACGGCAACAATCGCCAGAAACTACAACGGATACACAGGGTATAAGTAAGTTTTATTGATTTTACGAGAAAAATCTTCATATTTCGAAATATTTATCGTTGTAAATCGACCATATTTCGTTCCCTATACTATTCCTTATAACGTGTTCAAATTTTCAACGGTTCCCAGCATAACTTACTCTGAGTCACACAACGCGTGACGCGTTCGTGAATTATTCATTGGCTCTTTCTCGAGACACTGACCTTGGGTCGCCTGTGACAAGACAATTGCGTAAACAATACTTAACATAATAACACTATACACAAAAAACACGGGATTTTGGATCATGTATTTATTAAAAAAGAATATCCATACAACTACAATGAAAAAAAACATAAGATCCACCTTTCTGATCGTGAAATTAATACCATTCGCACTGTTATCGTAGCTACGTTCCCTGGCATCAAGTGAATCCAACATGGCGTCTTTCTTCACAAGCAGTTTGCATCCATTTGAATTTTGTTGCATAGAGTATATGCAGTTTGGTTTCAGATTTCAGATTTTGCTTTTTACAACGAGTTAACGTTTTCAACTAAGACATTGGCATACTTATCATACAAGACATACAAGACATACAAGGCATTCAATGCTTTCCTAGCTTTCAAGCGTTCGCTATTCAATCCGTTCCAAAATTACCGCTCAATAACATCTTTTTGTATGGATTGGCCGCGAACAATGCGACTTGTGTATGCGTCTGTAAGTATTTTAAGCGTTTGCGCCATAATGCTCCAGATAATCGTAATCCAAACACATTGAAATACAAAACGACTGACAAGAGTTTAATGGGCAAAAATCTCGTGTTCGTCATGTGACCCGGCCCTGTCCGTGCAAAGATAGCATCATCATCAAGATAGCACGCGTGATCAGCATGTGAACACCTCATTGGATCACAGTTAGTTGTCACGGTGTTGAGAACCCAATGACCTCTGGGTACTATTGCGCAATTTTTCCATTTTGTGGCGGAGGAAAAAAAAAAAAAAAAAAAAAAAAAAAGACGACAAAAAAACAAAGGCATTTTATGACTGGGCTACCACAGGTATCCCAGTAATGAGGCGAAACCAGTGAACCGTCAACACTTGTAACGCAAGGTACAATCACGCTCGGGGCACCCTTTCTGATTCACATGAAGGTATCGTTCACATCTTTGGAAAACAACCCTGAAAGCAAAGATAAAGGACATAAAGACGAAACATGTTTGGTTTTAAAATCAGCGCTGCACAAGCTCCTCGAAGGAGGCGAGCTTTGAGCTGTTTTCTCAGGCGAGATTTCGGAGGAAACCACGTCCAGTAGTTTGGTCACTTTGGATCCCTAATCGCGTTACGCAATAAATGTTTGTGTGTACTTTCGAATGGTTAGCGGAGCATCTTTCTTCTATAAGTATTTAACCGTTTAAATCCCATAAGTGACCAAGACAGAATTTCTCCTTACAATATCAAGACATTATAAAGCAGAAAAAAAGAAAAATATCTATTAGGGGATTATTAGTTGATCCGATACCAAATTCCCCAAACTAACATTACAAGAACTGTATGGTAGACATAAAGGAGAATTGCTATTGAGATCTTAGAAATTAAAGGGTTAAGTTGTTTTTAAACATGCTGCGCAAGAGGTTGTCATGTGTAACGCCCCCCTTAAAAATTATGCCCTCGTTGTCAGTTAGCGCTTTCATAGGCACTGCTGCTCAGCTGTAATTACGAAGACTGGAACCAAAAGGAAACTAGAAAGCATCGCAGAATATCAATTTATTGTAAAACATGTACAAAGTGATAATATCAGATCATAATTATGTTAATCTGAGACTTCCTCCTTTTTTTCTTTCTTCTTTTTCTTTTTCTTCTTTTCTTCGCTCTTCGGGGTCTGAAATGGTACACAAGTCACGTAGATCATTTAAATTTAAGTTAAAATTTAAACTGAGTTAGCAAGAAATATTACACCAAACGAGAGTGTGACAGAGTGAACTAGGACTTGTGTGACTTAGAATTGCGTGACAATATAGTCGGTGGTTAAGGAATGTTTGTTATGTAGGATTTCGCAACTTTAGTCTTTGTTATGTGAGCCCTTTGTGGGGTCTCATGTTTCAGTGTCTCGTGTGCTTCGATTCGTACAAAATGTAAAGTTCATTTACAGAAAACAAACGCCGTTGGGTTTTGAGGGGAATTAGACATTTACGGTTTGCATTTCTTTATTTACCCACTGCTACAAGAGCTATTCATAATTGTTCCACGTGATTGGTCCAATGAAGCTCTTAGAATGAAAATTTGTCAGAATTAAGCCTTCCATGAAAAGTTTGATATAGTTACCGAGCTCTTCACTTCCCCTCCCCTCCCCCCACCCCTAAAAAAAAAATCCTTCAACTCCGAAACAAGATTATTTCTACACCGGTCGAGAAACTTAGTTCTCACCACAGCCGCGGAGGTCTCCAATTGTTCTTCATCGTCTTCATCTTTAGATTCTTCGTTCTTCTTCTTCTTTTTTTTCTTTTCTTTCTTTGACTTTTTAGCCGGCGTCTCCCCGTCGACTGCGTGAAGGCAACATGAATATCATCAGTTAGCTTGGTTAAATAATTTTTTAGCATAACACATGGGGTAACACTACCAACAACGAAGAAAAGCGAGTAATACCCATTATTCTCATAGCACAGCTAACAAGAGGGGGGGAGAAAGCCCTTGGGTGTATTTGAGTCCCAACCCCCTATTCAAGTTTTATAGACACAAATATCACTCAGTATGTCCTAGGTTAGCGCTCCTTGTCTAATATTCTGACAAGCACAACCTTAATTCAGGATAGCTTTCACTTGAAAGCCGAACTTTGTGCCAACGGTAGCTTGAACGGAGTAAAAAACTTTACCGTCCCCAGTTATCTACACCAAACACGATACTTTAAAGAATCGAACCACACACCTTCTTCTGTTACAGGCGTGCTCGGCGTAACTGGGACGCTGTCGCCTGGTGTCGAATCTCCATTTTCTTCTGATCTCTTCCGTTTCTTTCCTGGTGTGGCGATGGTCGAGTCAGTAGCCGGATTGTACGACATTACAACGCTAAGGCAGGGGAAAAAAAAGTTTTAAAGATAAGCATTACATTACAACGCTGAGGAAGAAAAAAAAAGCGATTATAAATGAGCATTTGAAATAAGACTTGCGAGGACAAAAATTTAAGAAGTCACGTGCGTGCAAGATTTGCGTGTTAGTCGCGCGAGGGAAAATGGAGTGCGCAGAATTCACGAATCACGCGCGAGGTTCATTAACTTTTCGGATTGACCTCGTGCTTCTTGAATAACATAAGGGAAAAGAAATTAATTAATTGGTTGCAATTAGTACCTTTTGTTTTCGTACTTGTCTACTCTTGCTTTGGCCTTGCCAGTACCACTGATTCTTCTGAGCTAAAGAGAGAATATCATTCATTTAGTTATATGGAAATTGATTTTCTTGAGTTTCTGTCAGCTTCAAACGATCCGAACACCCATAAAAAAAGAAGGGAATTCCTCTCCCAGAATTTAACAAAACGCGGAAACATGGATTTATACCAAAACATTTGTGGTCCTAAGCTGAAAAAAAATTCGGAATATTCTTAACAGAAGTCGGACTTGTAACCATGCGATATGAAATTTGGAAGCCTTTTAGAAGGTAAGCCTTTAAACTAAATGTCCAAATGATCTCCAATAGCGGTTGGAAAACGCGGTAAGCCATGCAATGTCTATCAAAAGCGGGAAAATAGGAAACTGGTTAATAACCTGATTTTCTTCAAGTGCCTTCAACCTCATTTCAAGCTTTGCTCTGTTTTCAACCCCCATGGCCGTTCCACTGTCTTCTCCCAGGGCATCGACTCGTGCTGCAAGGGACACTTTGGCCGCTAGCATTCTAGAAATCTGTCACAGTAAAAGACAAAAAAATAAGACATTCGGATAACTATCTAAGTGGAAAAAATCATGACAACCGTAAGTACGCGACCATGAATCTCTCTAGAAACGGTGTTTTGCTGGCCCTCATTTTACAAAACAATTCTGCGT